GTAATGAAAATGACCCAAGAATATCACCAAGCTCAAGAATGATTGGATATCCTCGAGCTGTGAAATGAATAGAATAAAACTAAACACCAAAATTACCAAAATACCCTTATGGCCTATATTAAGTAAATGTCTAGGATTAATTAAGGAATCCAAATAAGCATAGGTGTTGTACTACCTTTAAAAGTTATGGAACACAACTTAAGTGAGCCGATCAACCTTAATAATATGTTAGTACCTGAACGGCATAATTATTACTTGAATGCGTATTTGTCTACTCAAGCTTGGCTCGATGATAATTTTGGAAGTATTCAGCTCAGCTCAATTCTAGATCGCGTTAAGCACTGAGATTTGAATGTTTGTTCGACAAATCAACCACGAAGACCAAATTGAATAAAACAGAAGTACATGTATCTGAAATTCAGGAACATTTGAATTACTCTGGAAAATCCCGAAGTAACTTGAATGCTAAATAAATTAAGTAACCTCAAGGACTAAGGATTAAATAAGTGATTTGGATGAATCTGGAAATGTTAATGAACATACATGATGTAATGTTCTTATGGATCATGAATTACAAATCAAGCACGTCAGCATTTCATGTATAGTGAAAGTGAACATGAAATAAAGACATTGGAAGATTTATTTAGCGATGATTCCGAAGATAATATATGGACTAGAAATTATGGTATTAAAGAGTAAATATCCTGGAAGAACAATGAATTGACTAATCGATAAGCATTAGTTCTAGGAACTATTCATCTAAGAGTTGTTCGATAATCAGATCAAACAACATATTTTGTATAAAGATTTCTGAACACTTTCCTGATGCATATGCATCATATCGGAATTCTAAAGTATCAACCTTAAATGTTGGATTAGATTGGTTAATAATCGATTCCCTTCAATAGGACCTCATTTTTAGAATCTGATCAAATTACGTCAGTTTCATGTTATTAATTCTGATAATTACTAAGTGACTCTGAGAAATACTTGGATATCCTAGTGTGTTCCACATGTACCACATGACGATTTTATATGTTTTTAAATGAGTTTCACCGAAACTATTGATTTTCTGGTTTATGAACCATGACAACATGTTATATGTTTTCCAATTACGGGTTTTACCGAAAAATATGAATTATTCCTGATTTATGACATCTTGGAATCTACTGGTTTTATGAACTATGTTAACTTGAAATATGTTATAGGGTTTCCTATTTTCATTGGAAAGTATGATCTTGATAAATCACGTACTGAATATTTTTATGAGACACTACCCGATGTTCTGAATATAGTTTATTTTGAGATCTGATTTACCACATATTTTGATATGGTTTCTGGTTACGGTATTTTTGTACATGATTTCTAAATATGGATTAATTACCGTTACAGTTCCCCCAGGTCCCTTTGCTGTGTGCAAGGGTAAGCCTTACAGTTCCCCCAAGTCCCTTTGCTGTGTGCAAGGGTAAGCCTTACAGTTCCCCCATGTCCCTTTGCTGTGTGCAAGGGTAAGCCTTACAGTTCCCCCAGGTCCCTTTGTTGTGTGCAAGGGTAAGCCTTACAGCTCCCCCAGGTTCCTTTGCTGTGTGCAAGGGTAAGCCTTACAGTTTCCCAAGTTCCTTTGCTGTGTGCAAGGGTAAGCCTTACAGTTTCCACGGGCTCTTTTGCTATGTGCAAGTATAAGACCTTATCGTTTTTGCATGCTCCTCTGCTTTGTGCACAAGGTAAATATGGTTTCAACTGCTACTGTTTTAAAAGATATGTATCTTTTCACTGGTTTTACGGGAACACACTAGATAATCTATTCTGATCTTCTGAACTCAGTCATCTGAAATATTTGTCTGAACTGAAAGCTCATTGTTCGTTACCATCTGAAATATCAGTAGGATCTCTGCTCAGCATAAAAATCTATAAATGTTTGGAAATAATAAGGATATGTATGTTTATCTGTATCTGCACGTTCTTCAGCATCATCTGGTAGTTCTGTATTACTGAGCTTTTCGAAGCTCACTCTATTACTCACATTTTCAGGTTAAAAGAATTGTACCAGTGCATCTATCGACTTCAGTAAGGGAGATCTTCTGGCGTTGTTGCAGAGTATGGTGCATGTGATTAGGGGGCATGTAATTGTATTTTGATTTATATACGAGTTTGGAAATCTGTTTTATTTTTAAATAGTGAAAACTGATTTTATAAGTTTACATGTTCTGATAAAAAGTTTTAAATTTTCCGCTATAATTACAATGGGTCGCTCTGGTGGCCCTAATGTGACACCCTGGATCGGATCAGGTTACCCTTATCGGTCTGTGGGGGTTACATCCTTGATCCTTAATTCAACTTCCAATAATTCCTCAGATACATATCAACAGAAATTATATAAAAAACGGAGCTTAATTCTGAAAAAACAGATCGAATCGGGTAATAAATCAGTGAAAAAATCTTACTGGGTTTGAATTTGGCGAAACAGACCTCAAAATCGAAACATCAACAAAACCCAAAATATTAATCTTAAATTCCAGCTCACCAACTTGATTTCTAGCTTCCAATCTTTTTCTAATGAACACGGATAATTCATTGTACAAATATGACTTCCAATAATTTTCCTTACCATAAAAAATAACTTATTAGAATCTAATTAATAATTTGGAAGCCCAATTTGCATAACTAAAAACTTGAAGAGCCAGTAATATTTAATTACCAACATCATGGACTAAATTGATCTTATTTGAACCATTATGCCATAATTATATTAATATGAAAACTAAGAGACAAGGTTGAGCTTTTAACAACTTGGATGGCTTACCTTGAAATTTTTCCTTCTCACTTTAATAACAACCCCCAAAACCACGTGCCTTGTTTCATTCCACCATTTCTTTTTCATTCCTTTACTTAACCTTTAAAGCTTGAAGCCATATTTTGCAGATGAACAAGGAAGCCTCGTCGATAGGTAGTTGAACGCCGACGACCACCGTATCAACCGTCGTCACTAGTTGTCGTCTGAGAACCAATATACATGGTTCGAATTGCATCAAACTCTTCATCACGAATCCGACCTCCGAATACTTTGGTTCGTACATACAATATTCCATGTTCGACATTTTCGCTCAAGCAACAGAGTATTTTTGGCTCAAAACGTTGGTGGTTTGGGGATTTTGAGCTTGAAGATAAGGGATTTGAGATGAGCTTCAGAAATAGTAAAGAGATCGAGATGTGTTTTCTTGGTTTCAATTGAAGAGATCTCAACCTTCGTTTCGATATCTCCATGCCGTTGTTACGGCTGAGAACCTTCCATCCGTCATGGCCACGACTTGAATTCTCAGACGAAGCCGACACTAACAACTCCTGCACACAACTCTCACTTGCAAATTGGACGTATCTTCTCAGTGAGTCCTCGCTGATGGACCATAATTGGTTGCAAGCTACAGAACCGGTATCCCTTGCCATTGAAAGATAGCTAAAACTAGCTAGGCTACTTTTTATTTTTTTACTCATAAGAACTAAAGTAGGAATATATATATACCAACAACTGATTACAAGGGTATGGTGAAGAAAGCAAAATAATTAATGAAAGAGGGGAAGCTATGATGATTGAGGCACATGTGATGCCAGAAGAAGCTCCATGATTGAACTGCACATGGATTGTTGGGAACTTTAGGAAAAATCCAACAGAGAATAAAGCCATGGAAGAACTAATTATTTTTTTTCAGCCGATTAAATGGGTTTCATGGTGGCAATGCATTATCCTTAATTTAATCCCATCAAAACCAACAATTGTCCACTTCTACCTACACTATTATCCTCTATTTGTTTAATAAAACAATGGTCTAATAAAACAATTTTTCCAACCAACTTCATATTTAATCTAGAAAAAAACATAACCCTAAATTGGGTGTTATAGGATAACTTTGAATGGGGGGATGGTTATACCGTAAGATTTGGCTTGAACTTTGTAGACTACAAAGATGGGTTGAAAAGATACCCAAAACTCTCGGCCAATTGGTTCAAAAATTTTCTCAAGAAACAAACATGAAGATGTTTTCCCTCGGGGTTTTTAGATTTGTTACTAGGTGTGTTTCTTCTTTGCCAATTGTTTTGTAACAGTTGCTATAAATGATGTGTTGTGTTTTATGTGTATTTTCTTATTAGTGTTTTATGTGTATCTTCTGAGTTGTTGTAATGTACAATGTGTTTATAAATCCATCACTAGTTATGTTCAAATGTAGATTAATTTTTTATCTGATATATAATCTTTTAATTAGTCAATTTGAATTCAAATATAATTTTTTTTAATTTTTGAATATTGGAAAATATATATAATATATATTAGTTTTATATTTAATAAAAATATTTAACAATATTAATTAAACTTAATTTTTTAAATATATAAAATAAAGAGATTGGATTCTTGGTAGGTTGTAAATGAATCGGGCTTAATGAATAAGGTTATTTTTGTATTTGTTTGTTTGTTTGTTTTTGAAGATGTTCATACTCAGTTCGTTTAACATTTGAAAACAAGTTTATTTATATGCTTGCCAACATGTTCATTTAACATTCGGCAACGTATTCGTTAACATTGACGAACATGTTTGCACACAACCTTTTTATAAATTTTTTTATTTGTAAGTCAAAGAAAAATAGTAAAATTATAATATTAGTCTTTAAGTTCCTTCTTTTAACTCTAAAGTTCATTTTATGCTCAATTTAGTCTCTACTTTTACTAAATTTAAAATATAAAAAATAAAATGAAAAAAAGAACCATGTAAAGCAGTCCATAAATACGTTTATAAACAAACTTTTAAATGAGTTTTTTTTAATATAAACTAATTGAACACATATTTATTTATGTTTATTTATTTATTAAATGAATATTTATTCACACTCATTAATTTAAATTAATAAATGAATCTTATAAAAATGATTCATTATAAATTCATAAAACCCTACGTTTATTTCTACTCATAATTCTTGGAAATGAAAATAAGATGAACAAAAAGCAGAGAGACTTTGGAGCACATAACACATCCGCAATTGAGAGCACCAGCATTTTGCAGCTGAAAAACAACAGAAGCAATAAAGAGGTTTCGTGAGAGCAAGCAGTTGTATTTCTCTGTCTCTCTCAACTTCAGAACACATTTTTCTTCTACACACATTGCAGTTGAAGTCCATATCCAAAATTCAAATTCCTTCATAACAATATCGTCAAAGGTCGATCGATTGATCAATTTTTTTTCAAAAGAAAAAAATAAGGTAAGAACCTTCAAAAATGGCGAACCTTCCACAGATCGCGGTTCTGGGAGCTGGAATATTTGTAAAGACCCAATACATCCCGAGACTCGCCGAGATCTCCCATCTCCTCTCCCTCAAATATATCTGGAGCCGTTCGGAGGTTTCTTTTCCCCCTCTCTTCTCACTCGAATTTTGTTGTATATTGAGATAGAAATGATTTTGTGGTTCATAATGACAAGGAATCTTCGAGAGCAGCTGTTGAGTTAGCGAAGCAGCATTTTCCTGGAGTGGAATGTAAATGGGGAGACCAAGGTCTAAACGACATCATCCAGGATGCTTCTCTTATCGGTACTGCTGTCGTTTTGGCTGGCCAAGTTCAGGTTCTTGATTTCCACATTTCTTCAACATTGTTTTTCATTACTTTTATATAAATTGCAACATTTCCAATCAATAGCAAATAGATCTATTGGGGCACCCATGAATACATACTTCACAAGCACTGTATTTATCAATTCGAAATGGATTCATTTCGTCCCTCCATGGATTTGTCTATGTAAGCCGCCGCTAAAGTTGCAAAAATAAGAACTTGATATGGTTCATATAAGTAACAAAGTAAAAAAAGAAAAAGATATTGTCTGTTATGGTAGAAATTAGATAAGGATCTTGCTAATTAATGCCTTGAGGGCATTGGATATGATTTTTAATAGGTATTGCATTCATAAGTGACCTTTATGAATTTCAAAGCATTTTTAAGGTGAAAAATGGTTTGATGCTTTGGATCTGTGAAAATTACCAGCGTAACTCATTCTAAGGTGATTACTTTGTTATTGTTTTTGGGTTGTTATTGCCTTTTCTACAATCAGTAACAAGAATAGCCATAAATAAGTTTATACTACAACAATTAAAGCTTTATTTATTTATTTATTTACTTTTGGCTTTTGAATTGTTTTGAAGAGAAACTAGTGCTTTGATAGACAACAAAACACATCAAATCATATAAACAAAACTTATAGCCTAATCTTTCAGTTTTCATAATTTTTAATCATCATTTGCAAGGTTGGTTTTTTACGTTCCTTCTTTATCCTCATTTTGATCTGATCTTTTTAGTCAATAACATAACTCTTGAAATATTTCTCTTTCTAAAGGAAATTTTCATGTGAAACTTTTTGTTTTTACAAGCACCAATAAGAAGTAGATGACTTAGAAAATTAATATTGAAGAGACTAGGTTTTGAATCAAACTCCTAAATCCTAATGGGAGAATTTTATAAATACTCTTTGCATGTCCTGCTTACTTTCCTTGACCAAACCAGTGTCCAGTTTATCATTCACTAGTGGAGACTTTAAAATTATAATTATTAATCAATTGTTGTCGGCTATATGCTTACATATGAAATAAACCATGCAGGTAGATATGTCACTGAAGTTGCTAAAAGCAGGGAAGCATGTCATTCAAGGTGAGATATGTCGTTATGATCTTGCTATAAGGGCAAGATGATTATGTTCACTATTCCTTTAAAGAGGCTCACAAGCCATTTTCTAATTTGGCGTTATTTTGCATAGGACCTCTCTGAATTTGACAACTACCTTAATGTTTCAAAGAAAATAAAATTTAACAAATTTGACTAACATCCCCCCCTCCGAATGGGGAGGGAGAGAGGCAGATGATGCATCTTTGACCTGTTGTAATACATAGCTAGAATAATCATATTTTGCATTATAGGATTGAAATGTTAGTCTTATTGTTTTATCTTTCCACGTGCAGTTTATTAATTTTCCTTTTTGTTTTTGATTTGTCATATGTATCACGTGGTTAACTTGTGGATCTCTAGAGAAACCTGCAGCAACTGGTAAGTTCCATAGATTTTTAGTTTATTTGTTGTATAATTTCTAATTTTAGAACATAAATCTTATTAAAGATCTAACATATGAACATACTTGAACATGGAATAAAAAAGCTTCTACAGAAATAGAATCAAAAAGGAACTCTAGTTGGAAATGAGGATCGTTATTACCATTTGTCTAAAGATAGATGATGATGCTCTTTTCAATAATTATAAAACACTACAGGTTTGACTGTCGTACACGGATATGGTAATAATGAGCATCATCAGAAATAAAATCATCTCTCTTCGAAGTGTTCAAATTTATTATAGTGTAATAATGATGTCTACTTACTGCCCATCACCTCAGACAAAATTAAGACAATTTTCAAGATTCCATGGTAACATGTCTTTCTTATTTGAAGTAATTGTTTTGAATATGATTCTTTTTAAACTAAGCAGAAACACATAAACCAAACTTATTCTTTGCTACTTTTTTCTTGGTCACTTTTTTGGGTAAAAATACTAATTTTTACAAAGTAATTGTGAAGAATGATCATTTCTAAGTATTACTGCCTGCTTTTTGAAGATGTTAGCTTTGGCATATGTATCCACCTTAATGGATGGGTAGGTAGGTAGTTATGGAATACAATCTGCATTTCGACTGCTTTGAAGTGGTAATGGTCAGAAAAATCAACCTTGATCAAGTCATTTTTTATTAAAATCACTGATCTAATTTCCTGCTTAATCCCTGAATGATGTTTGAAAAAAAATCAATTCTGGCAAGCTTACTTCCTATGGGATCCAAAGTCAGAAATGATCCTATTTCTTGTCAACGAAATTTTATTGATAAATCACTACATGATCCTTCTTTCTCCATCTTCTTCTAACCCCTCCCCCAACCAAAAAAGAACATCATCTTCCCTTGAAACAATTTCTTTAAAGTTAAATGAATAAAATGGTTTTACATTTTAGGTATACCTGAGATAGAAACTGCACTTGCTAGTTACAAGTCCATTTGTACCAAACCTGGTCAACCAATTTGGGCTGTAGCAGAAAACTATCGCTTTGAACCTGCTTTTGTAGAGGTATGTTTTTCATGTTTCCACATTCTATTCAATCCATAGTATAATCCTAATTTCTTATTAATTTATCTTTTTCAGAGCAAGAAACTAGTGGCTGGTGCTGGAGATATGATGAACGTCCAAGTTATTATTGAAGGGTCAATGAACAGTTCAAACCCTTATTTTTCTAGCTCTTGGAGGCGGAATTTTGAGGTCTGTCTTTCATGCTGGTATCTTATAATATAAGTTTGTTTTACCGGTGCACAAGCTCTTCTGTCAACATATACCTTCTATCAGATTGAGGGTAACTATTTTAAACTCATGTACAATATACATAATGAGATATTAATAGATCATATTCATCAATCATTCCTAGTTAAGAATACATGATGATGAGTAGATATTGGCCCCATGAATCTCAAAGTTCAAGTGAAATCTTAAAATAGATACTAATGCTGTCAGCTATATTGCTTTTATCACATTGCTGACCTCATCAAACATTACTTCATATTTATTTGTCTAAAGATAGATGATGATGCCCTTTTCAATAATTATAAAACTCTACAGGTTTGACTGTCGTACACGGATATGTGTCCCACAAAAGTATGTGTGATTTTTAATAGTATTTTCATGTATTTAGAGGACCTCTAGAGGGTCATATCCATATACCTATTTCTTAATAGGTATAGGAAATGCACTCTTCCCGTAAAATAAAGATTAAGAGCTGTAAAGATCCTGAATGTGATAGACACAAGTATTTTTATCTAAGTGTTTTCCCGTTACCTTGACTAGCAAATCTTTCTTTTGGCAGGGAGGTTTTATTTTGGATATGGGAGTGCATTACATTGCTGGTTTGAGGATGGTATGTCTATATTACATCATCTTAGTGGATGCTATCTTAGATGCTATCTTACATCATCTTAGTGGATGCTATCTTAGATGCCACATCCTCTCATAGTTCGACTCTAAAGTAAAGTTAAGAGAAAAGGTTATTGTTTCTGATAAGGATTTTTATCTTTTTTTTTATATAGAAATAAGGATTTTTATCTTCACTGCTATTTTTGTTCAAGAATTGCAATCATTACGCTTTGCACAAATCATGTTGATAAAACATTGTGATGAGGTTTCTATAGGGCCTGATAGATTAATGTTGAATCCCAGTTGGGTTATTTGCTTCAATTTGTATTTTTCAGATTTACTACTCATTGTTTTTTATGTCTTGACAATTTTAGGACGCAAAACCAGAATTTTCAATTATCTCTACGCTCAAGCATGAACATAAACATATCAGAAGAAACTAAACCCTCAACTCTTTCAAATCCTCCACCTGGCTTCCTTTCCCCAACCACCAGCCAATGTAGATAAGAAGAAATAGAATAGAAGGAAAAGGCAACATTAAAATTAAAGCTTTGACATTATTATTCTATGGAATGGTTCTTTTTGATTTAGCCATCAATAAACTTGGAATAAATTTCCTGTTCTTGCAAACAGACGGTTGGTTGTGAGGTGGCTTCAGTTTCGGCTATAACCTCTCATGTAGATAAATCATTACCTGCCCCAGACATTATTTCTTCTAACTTGTAAGTTTTTTAAGAATTAGTTGATTTTCTATCTAGAATTAGAATTTTATCTCAAACTGAAAGGCTCATGGCTTGGAAATTATACTTTTGCTTGCCTCAGTAAGCTGGAGAACGGATGCTCTGGAGTTTTTGTGATGATTGTTTCCTCTAGTTCACCTAAGGTATCTACTGAAGTGATACACTTTTAACCATTTATGCATGCATTTCTACGTGCTGCTCATTTCTTTTGGTTGTTTTAGATAATTTGGCGAGTTGTTGGGTCGAAAGGAACAGTACAAGTTGAACGAGGCAAAATAGATGGAAAGCATGGTTACATGGTAAAAATGGAAACTAACTTTATATTCTTGCAATTCTGATCAATGAGAGGCTGAAGCTTCTGCATTTCAGTTTTCCTAAGATCTTTTTTCTTTCAAGTTCCTTTTTGGCAGTGTGAGATGACTTTCTCCTAATATCTTTGTCATCTCAGACCACACTATACAGTGCAGATGGGCAATGCAAAAGCACATTCCACCCGTTTTGTGGAGTAAACGAAGAATTAAAAGCTTTTATACACGACATTGAGCAAGCATGCCTCGAGGTAGGTTAATGTATGGTTTGGCTACTGCATCCTTCATTCCCCCATTTGCATGCTGGTACTCTGTTACTATAAAGGATGATCAGCATCAATGTCACAAGAAAGAACCGTTCGGTCACTTACCGGGCAATAGTTTTTATCTATTTAAACATTCATTATTCTCATCAAACTTAGCTTTTCTATTAAATAATAGCCCATACTGGAATTGGATGAACACGAGTTGATTCAAATTGACAGCAGTTTAGTACAGGCTCTCACATTTCCTTACATATTTTACTGATTTCTCGTTTTCCCAAAGTATTCTGATATTTCTGATGGTATTGATGGCATTTATATTTTTGTATTTGGGGAAGCAAAGGTTTGAACATCGGCTATAAGAAAAGGATAGATTCACTCCTCATTGAGTCATTGATGAAGCAAAGAATACGTCAACTGACTTTCTAAATGTCACTTCTAAGAGATACCCCTCATCCTCCGTTTTCATTTTACAGAAGGAAAATGGCTATGAAGCTGAACCTCGCAGCTCTTTCGTGGAAGGTGCCAGGGACGTTGCAGTTTTGGAGGCAATGCTCGAATCCGGATCCAAGGGGGGAACCTTGGTTAATGTGAAGAAATTTTAGGATTGCGCATGGCCATGGATCTCTGTTTACCAGCAAGTGTTATCAATAAGCATTCAGTGCTCTATAATCCGCAAACTATTTTACAAGACTTTCTTTTCATGCAACTTTTAGGGGGAAACACATGATAATATTGAACTCATAGAGGAAACTTGAAATAATAAAAGTCTTGTGCAGAACCTACAAACACTTGTATTGAATAAAGCTGTTTCTGTTTACAAATGTTTTCTCCATTGTGAGCTCTCCTAACTGTTGGTTTCTAGCAAGTGCCAAAAAAAAAAGTCAAAAGTTGCAAGTTGCATTGAAGAGGTCCATAATGTTTGGTTCGGTTACAGCTTGTGACTGCCCTAAGGTCCATAACATTAGTCGATTAATCTAAATCAAGTACTTTAGAGGTCCATTACTAGGACGATTCTTTTAACTTAATTTTTTCCATTCATAACATTAAGACCTAATCTCTTATATTGCACAAGGAATCTAACATCCCATCTTGATCAATTAATAATTGGTTATTAATGTACATATTTTGTTATCCGATCAATTAGTAGTTGGTATAATGTGCATATTTTGTTAAGTCTCTGCTCTTGCGTAATTAGTCTAACACCTTATCTCGATCAATTAGTAGTTGGTTATTGATGTGCATATTTTGTCATCCGGTCAATTAGTAGTTAGAAAGAAAGTTATAGAATAGTGATACTAATATGGAAATGAATGTGTTTAGAGAAAATAACCTCATTGACCAAAAATGCCTTATAATATACGATTTTAACCAACTTTTTTAGATTTGCCAAAATGACCAACTAAATCGCAATGCGATCGATAATTCGCAACGCGATCTCCGGTATCGCAAATCAGTTTCCAGATTCGCAACGCGAACTTGGACTATCGCAATGCGAACTTGGACTATCGCAATGCGAATATGTAAATTGCAATGCGATAGTCGACTATCGCAATGCGAACTTGGACTATCGCAATACGAATATGTAAATCGCAATGCGAATATGTAAATCGCAATGCGATAGTCGGCTATCGCAATGCGAACTTGGACTATCGCAATGTGAATATGTAAATCGCATTGCGATAGTCGACTATCGCAATGCGAACTTGGACTATCGCAATGCAAATATGTAAATCGCAATGCGATAGTCGACTATCGCAATGCGAATATGTAAATCGCATTGCGATAGTCGACTATCGCAATGCGAACTTGGACTATCGTAACGCGAATATGTAAATCGCAATGCGATAGTCAACTATCGCAATGCGAATATGTAAATCGCATTGCGATAGTCCAAGTTCGCATTGCGATAGTCGACTATCGCATGCGATTTACATATTCGCATTGCGATAGTCCAAGTTCGCATTGCGATAGTCGACTATCACATTGCGATAGTCCAAGTTCGCATTGCGATAGTCGAAGTTCGCGTTGCGATTTATTCCAAATTCGTTGCGATAGTCCAAAATCGCAACGACTGGTGGTATTGCATTTGTTTCTTAAGAATTTTCTCTAAAAAGATAGTATTCGCGCGGACGTGTCGAAGACACGTATTACCACAACCACGACCACGACACGACACGAGACGGACGGCAGCAGCGGCGGCGCGCAAGAGTCCCCTTGTTCTCTATCACTCAATAAGGAAGTGAGAAAACCAAGCCTTAAATACCATTCCCAATAGTGTTTCCAATACTATGTGGGATTTAGCATTACCAACACTTGTTTCCAATACAATGTGATTATTCAGGAAATAATTAACAATTATGCACCTTAAAACAACTGAATCAGCAACCAATTGCATTAGTATTATACGATTAAATATGTCATAATTAAAAGTCAATCTACAATCAATCGCGATTATTGCAATTTTAAGCAAAACATTCAAAAATAATATCACTATTTAAGGCTCAATCCCACATAGTATTAGGAACAAGTGTTGGTAATGTTCAATCCCACATAGTATTAGAAACACTATTGAGAATGGTATTTAAGGCTTGGCTTTCCCACTTTCTTGTTGAGTGATAGAGAACAAGGGAGACTCTCGCGCGCCGCCGCCGCCGTCTCTCTCGGGTCGGGTCGGGTCGTGGTCGTGGTCGTGTCGTGGTCGGGTCGTGGTAGTACGTGTCTTCGACACGTCCGCGCGAATACTATCTTTTTAGAGAAAATTCTTAAGAAACAAATGCAATACCGTCGTTGCAATTTTGGACTATCGCAACGAACTTGGAATAAATCGCAATACGAACTTGGACTATCGCAACGAATTTGGAATAAATCGCAACGCGAACTTCGACTATCGCAACGAACTTGGAATAAATCGCAACGCGAACTTGGACTATCGCAATGCGAATATGTAAATCGCAATGCGATAGTCGAAGTTCGCGTTGCGAATATGGAAACTGATTTGCGATACCGGAGATCGCGTTGCGATTATCGATCACATTGCGATTTAGTTGGTCATTTTGACAAATCAAAAAAAGTTAGTTAAAATCATATATTATAAGATATTTTTTGTCACTGATATTATTTTCTCATGTATTTAATATGTTAAAAATCTGGCTCGAGTTTAATAATATAATCATACACGTAAACAAAAAAAACTATAATATAATCACGTCTATGCAAAGTTTTAAATTGATTTGATATTGATATTTTCTTTATAAAAATAGTTTCTTCAATATATTAATTGTAATTTATATGAATAGGATTTGAAATACAATGACCAAAATGTTTATTCATTACATTATGTTCTCTTGAGTTAGTATTCTAACTCCGTCACTACATTAAAATCAAAGATCAAATAATAATTATTTTTCACTTATCTTAAGAAGAAAATAAACTAATTAAATCTGACATCATAAACTAAAATTTTGAACTTCGTTGTTAAATTATAATGTAAATTTTAAATAAATATGAGAGTTATAAAATTTATATTTGAGAATTGAATACACATCTACTCTAAGCACATTTCTTAGAAACGGAAATAAAAGAAAAAGAGCTTTGAAAGTAGGAATTTGGGCATTGTCTGTTGAATCCAGACAGTGATAGCGAGGAACCCAACGAGGGGAAATCATAGCTGGAGTCTGACGATTATCTAACAGCGCATAGGGGAAATCGAAATGTGAGAAACTCGAAGAAGAACTCGACAGTTATGCTTTCGTTGATTTAGAATAAATTTTTAGAACAGTAGCAACCGGCTTGAGACAAAGAGACGCGGGCTTCGTTTTGTGTGTGAAAAAAAATCAAATAAATTACCTGAATAAAATACTTATATTCAGCTGATTCCAAAATTGAATCTGCTCAAACTAAGGCTTCATTTGTCTATTTCTCCACATGATTTTGATTACACTCATACATAGCCAGAAAAAGATTCTAAAGAACAAAAGGCAAACGAAATGCATGTATGTGGACGCAAAGCAGGAGATCATCCCTCCAAACACTTCTCTTCCACTTGGCCTCCCTTTACCTGCCTCTCTCTGAATTAAAATTCGCAATCTTTTCTCAAGCAATCAAAACCCATTTTGTCCTTTGATTCGCTCTCTCTTTTTCTCCTCCCCGAATCCTTTTATCTCGCTTTCCTAAGTTAGAAAGATTTCGAGCTTTTTTATCCCCTTGTTTCATGGCTGAATTGGAGGACGTTGGAGCTGAAATCGGGTAAAGCTTCATCCTTTTTTACACTTTCTAATAAAACTTAAACCCTCAAATTTAATTTAGTCTTTTATCACTTTTTTAGAATATTTGATTACCGAATTCGATTTTTTGATTTCGTACGATTTGGTTAAGGAAATATCGTGGGGTGCATTTGTTTTGAAATTTATACTTTTATTTGTTTACAGTAACTTTAATTGTTTGCACCTTTAGACGCAAACTCTTTGATGAATAATGGGATTCTGTAATTGATATTTTACTGAGCAGACTAATAAAATGCTCTCGGGTTTTAATTTCTTTGGTTTATTAACTTGAGTAGTGTGGAGGAAGAATGAAATTTAAATATGGATGTTAAGGTTCAAATGTTGGTTTAGGGTTTCTGTCAATTTTGTCCAACGACGGATTTCAGCTTTGTTTGAATTAATGGTGTATGCTATGATGGTTGTCAATTTGTTGGTTGACAGTTCCGACATTGAAGTTGATGACCTAAGGTGTGAAAACATAGCCGAGAAAGATGTCAGTGACGAAGAGATTGAAGCGGGTGAATTGGAGAGACGAATGTGGAAAGATCGTATCAAACTTAAAAGGATTAAGGAAAGACAGAGGATAGCGGCCCAACAGACTGGGGAAATGCGAAAGTCGAAGAAGATCTCTGATCAGGCTCAGAGGAAGAAAATGTCCCGAGCTCAAGACGGGATTCTTAAGTACATGTTGAAGCTAATGGAAGTTTGCAAAGCGCAGGGATTTATCTATGGAATCATTCCTGAGAAGGGTAAGCCTGTAAGTGGTTCTTCGGATAATCTAAGAGCGTGGTGGAAAGAAAAGGTGAAGTTTGATAAGAATGGGCCTGCAGCCATAGCCAACTACGAGGCAGACTGTTTAGCTACGAGTGAGTCCGATAATGGTAGAAATGGGAAGCAGCGTAGCGGTCTCAAAGACCTGCAAGATGCTACTCTTGGATCCCTCTTGTCTTCCTTGATGCAGCACTGCGATCCCCCTCAGAGGAAGTATCCGTTGGAAAAGAGAATTCCTCCACCTTGGTGGCCAACCGGAAAAGAAGATTGGTGGGTAAAACTAGGGCTACAACGGGGTCAGAGTTCTCCTTATAATAAGCCACATGATCTTAAGAAGATGTGGAAAGTTGGAGTATTAACAGCTGTGATAAAGCACATGTCACCTGATACTGCAAAGATCCGGAGGCACGTACGTCAGTCAAAATGTTTGCAGGATAAGATGACAGCAAAGGAGAGTGCATTATGGTTGGGGGTGTTGAACCGAGAGGAAGCTCTGATTCGGCAACCTAGCAGTGATAATGGAACATCTGACATAACTGAAATGCCCCGAGGTAGACGTGGTGATAAGAAGCAACCTGCTATCAGCAGTGACAGTGATTATGATGTTGATGATGGAATAGGTTCAGTCTCTTCCAAAGATGAGCAGAGAAATCAGCCTATAGTTGTCGGGCCTGTGGCCTGTATTAGCAATGATGATTCCCATCCAGTACAAAACAACGAGCGAAAGGGAAAACAACCTAGGAGAAAGAGACCTCGTTTAAGGTCGAGCGATGGTCATCAAGAACATATGCCAAACCATAGTGATCAACAATCTGCTCCAAGCCATGGTGATCAACAACCTGTGCCGAACCATGGTGATCAACAATCTATAACAAGTGATGGTGGTCAACAACGTATGCCAAACCATGGTGAACGTGTAAGTGCCGAGTCAATAACCAGTTTGCCCGACATCAACCAAGCCGACGTATCATTCATGGAATATCATATGCCTGTCACTCAGCAGGAAAACGATGCAAGGACAGCATTGAGACATGTGCAGGAAGGTTTAGATGTTCAGCCGCATCTACCTTCACGTGGATACTGCCATTATCCCGCAATTCCTTGTGCTACTGAGATTTCAACACAGAGTATGTATGTAGATGGAAGGCTCATGCACTATCCGTTAATGCAACATGTTGAGTTGCACCATGGTTCTACATATGAATTCTATAATCCCTCGGTCAAATTTAGGCCTGGTAATGATGGTCAGCAAACTCAGATGGAGACGAATGTACCGCATATTAGGCCAGAGAATGGTGTCGATGTACCAGCCCCGGGTAGAAATGAACATGACATTGCTGGGGGAGAATTGCATCACCTATTGCATGATGATCAAGATAGAATGTTCATAATCCCTTTGGTTCTCCAACAAGTGATCCGCTATTTTTTGGTGGATTTCACAGTCCCTTTGAACTCCGATTCGATGGTACAAGTTCGCTGGATGAACTACTTGATGATGACTTGATACAGTACTTTGGTGCATAGGTTGGAATATGTGAGAGGCCATAGAGTAGATTGCAAGTAAAATGTTAGAACGTAATTGCGCATATATTTTGTGTTATGTTTACGGAGGTTTTTATAGATAAAACGATGTTTGGAAATAAGACGAAATGACAGAAAAAGTCGATTGAGGTTATTTGATAACATATGATATTAAATTTCTCTTCTCTCTCTTTGTAACAAGGATTTTTAATGTCATTTGAAGCTTTGTTCGGAAGAGAAAAAACAACAAGACGGCAAGCAATACTTTTTCTTTAGAATTTCTTTATTTTATTTGTGTATTGTGATTATTGAAATATGATTTTATTGTATCTTAGACGGTAGGTAAATGTTAAATTTAGATAATATTTAGTACTTTAATAAAAAAATGAATTTAAATTATATAAATAGTCGAATGATTACTTTATAAATTTTAATAATCAAATATTTAATAAAATAATATATTATAAATTAATTTGTAATTTTTAATAATGAAGAGATCAATCTACAATGGATGGACTATTTGTATTGTTTAACCTAATAATAAAAAGAAAAAAAGAAACGAATGTTCCAGATTATTCGTGAACAGCACCGGAACGTTCCTATTAAAATTTAAACATCATGCTAACTCAGTTTTCTTGTTCGTATCGCCCACACAATTGCTGACACGAGTAAGGCGGGCAACCTTAGAAATTTGTTTCGTTCCAGAATAAATAAATAAAATAAAATATTTTTTTATTGCATTTTCTCGTTATTTCTAGAAGCTTCTACACCGTCAACTCCTCTCCAGATTAGGTCTTCCTTTTTCTACTATATAACCAAATCCCTCCCTCCGTTTTTTCCCACAGAATCATCAATTGTTCTCTTGAAATCCTTTTTTTCTCTACTCGTCGTTTATTGTTCTTACTTGAATTTTTGTCGAAGATGCAGATCTTTGTAAAGACCCTCACCGGAAAAACAATAACCCTCGAGGTGGAGAGCTCCGACACCATCGATAACGTTAAGGCCAAGATCCAGGACAAGGAAGGTATCCCTCCGGACCAGCAGCGTTTGATCTTCGCCGGCAAGCAACTCGAAGACGGCCGTACTCTCGCCGACTATAACATCCAGAAGGAGTCGACTCTCCATCTGGTCCTCCGCCTCCGCGGTGGCATGCAGATCTTCGTCAAAACCTTGACCGGCAAGACTATAACACTTGAAGTCGAAAGCTCAGACACCATAGATAACGTCAAGGCCAAGATTCAGGACAAGGAAGGCATACCTCCGGACCAACAGCGATTGATCTTCGCCGGGAAGCAGCTCGAAGACGGCCGTACTCTCGCCGACTATAACATTCAGAAAGAGTCGACACTCCATCTGGTCCTCCGTCTCCGTGGTGGTATGCAGATCTTCGTTAAAACCCTGACTGGCAAAACTATAACTCTTGAAGTCGAAAGCTCTGACACCATAGACAACGTCAAGGCGAAGATTCAGGACAAGGAAGGCATCCCTCCGGACCAGCAGCGATTGATCTTCGCCGGAAAGCAGCTAGAGGATGGTCGCACCTTGGCCGATTACAATATTCAGAAGGAATCGACTCTTCACCTTGTGCTCAGGCTTCGTGGTGGCATGCAGATCTTTGTTAAAACCTTGACAGGAAAAACAATTACCCTTGAGGTAAGAGCTCGGACACGATCGACAATGTGAAAGCGAAAATCCAGGATAAGGAAGGCATTCCTCCGGACCAACAGAGGTTGATTTTCGCAGGGAAGCAGCTGGAAGATGGCAGGACCCTTGCAGATTACAATATCCAGAAAGAGTCTACGCTTCACCTTGTTCTGAGGCTTCGTGGAGGGATCTAGATATTCTGATATGGCCATTTAATCGTTTCTTTCTGCGTTATTGCCTTGTTATTTGGAATGAAGATCTTATTTCTGATGTTATGTTGAAATCCGCTATTCGGAATAAAACCATGATGAACTAGCTTTCTTTCTAATAATTTTTGGCTTTATACAACAATACTAGTTGAAACCCATTTCTATGCACTATTATTAGCTTCTAATAATTTTTCTAATGGATCGAATTAGGACGTATTTGAGACAAACTCATGTATCACTATCGTATATATATTTGCTTAATTTTGGGTTGACACAATATGAACCCCAAAATTTGTCAAAACTCGTGTACAAATTGTTAACCATGTAGATCAAGTTGAATAATTTTATATGCCAACTTTGGTACGACATTTTGATTCAACCGCAACCCCGGTATTGTACATTTAAAATTCTCCATGACCTTGTGAATCTTTAATCTTAAACAATGAAACTGCAGATGTATGATTTAGTGCAACTAAAGCAATAGGTATTTGCACCAAACTTTTTGTTTAATTTCTATACAGTTATACCAATCAAATATAGAGAAGGATAGAGTATTTACACATAGCGCTTGGCTTTAAGACGAACCTATTTTAATGAAGACACAACCTACATAGTCAAATCATTCCTCTGGACTTTGTTCTCAAGGCTCTCCATACATGAAACCGGTATGCATTTCGATCAAACAGGTTCGGTGATGAGTATGAAGCACTCCCAAATTTAGATCTACCCATAACGATTTTAAGTTACCGTTTTTTTCCTTGAGTTTATGACAAAATAGTAGGAAAAGTTACCAGTTTCCCAACTCTAGAGGGCCTTCTCCGTCGCTTGCACAAATTTCTGGTGTGGTTGAGAAATGGCGAGCAATGATGAATGCTGAAACAATTTTAAATCAAAATAAATCATCATAACGATTTTGATTTGTACAAGTCAAGAAGCATAATAGAATGACCACTGCTTCACTTAGCTTGATTACCATAAAGATGCAATCTCACTAGCAAATAATCAGGATCAAGTGTCCATATAATTACGAGTACTAGCCTACGCTCCGATTAGGACTCGACATAAGTCTACTTTCAGTCCATTGAACTTGCTTACACGATCTACAGTAAGTAACTTGTATGAGGGAAAGGAGGTAGTGTGAGAATTGAAAGAAGCTACATCGATCATATATAAATATAAGGAATCAGAATAAAACACCTTTGTCCCAGCTATGATGGTACCATTAAGGGGATGACTTGCACATGCGGTAACACCTTCAGATAACGGAACAAAAATGTTTTTCTTTGTTTGGCGGTTTATCTCAGACATACTTTCTTCATGCTCCCTAGAAAAACAAAGATAAATAAAGAAAATTGTGAAAAAGAAAATCGATTCCTGAAAGAAACATGGACAACAGTTGGATTATTTCTTATGACTTTGTACAAAAAATATTTGCATATCATATGTTAGTACATTACATAAAAACATGCATGAATATGCACCTAGCATGAGTGGTGCCTTTAACATGGAAGTAATCACTGAATATTAAATATCTAATTAGCATGAAAAAAAAACAAGAGCCAACAACACGCATGAAAATAACACACTGCCTCTGAACCATGGTGAGAAAATTACAGTATGTTCCGTAACAAGAGGTGCAAAAAAGAATTTCAAGCATACACCAAGGAGAACGCCTCATAATATAAGCAAATAGTTATGACTACACAGACAAACTGCTTGTTTTGAATTACTCTTACTCACACAAGAACAATACTAAGATTCGAACAAGCAAATGTAAACCATGTGTACAACCAAAATAATCCATTGACCTCCAGAGAACCTGATGGCTAACGTATGAAAGTTTAAGAAGCCCCTTACTTGTAGTCCACGTGACTGGGAGAGCTTGTATCAGGATAGAAATCTAAAATATGAATGCCAGAGTCATATGATGATCCTACTGCATAAATCTACACCAAACAAATAGTGGTGTGAGATTTTTTTAAAATGCATACTGGGATCGAAGAGAGCATAATAGTTTGAGCCCATATGTGTTAAAACCCACAGAAAAGGCTATGTGATGCATATGTTACTATGTATCGAAGGATATCGTTAATCAAAACAGTCCTGCATTACCTAAAACTGTACGCAAGGCAACAGCCATAGAAATTGCCGATAGTACAAAAGTGTAGCGTTAGATATAGTCAAAAAGAATTTGAAGCATTATATGAAGATGATTTAGCTGATTGTTGCACAATGCTCAAAAGTTAGGTTTCCTTTAATGTGCCAAGTAATTTATATCCCCTTGAGGAATTTGATGGTTATCCTGAGTTTTAAAAACAATTATGTGGTAATGCAAAACTGAAGAACGTTTTATAATGTTACAGAAAATGAAACTGAACCAAAAAAAACTATGATAAAAAGGTTCTTACAGAAGATGCTGGCAGCCATGAGGCTTTTCTCAAGTATAACAGATCAGATGATATGCTGGCTCCTGTCCTAACAAATTCAATTTTTTTAAAAAAAATGAACTAAATGTCCAGATACCATACATAAGTTCTCAATATCTTGCTATAAAATATGAGAAACACCGAAGTTGTTCAATTTTACTTACAACCAAGCTGGAGGAGGACAATGAACATGCGTAACTCTTAAATTGTAAATATCCAAAACACCTGACCTGCACGGCATGAGGAATTGAAAAGAAAGAAAACATCAAAGTGACATCGGAGCTTACATTATAATATTTATTTATTTCAGTTTTATTAAATATTAGATACATTTTGGATGGGTAGGATTATAAATTTCATTTATGTTTCATTTGTAACCCTAATATAAATAAGCTATAAAATATTACAGCCACAACTTATCCTTATTATTTTATGTTTCATTTGTAACCCTAATATATTTATGTTTCGTTGAAAACATCATTAACCGAGAAAAATGATTTCTTAAGCAGTTGATGACAACAAACCAACTGTACTACAAATTCCAATTCATCTTCCATGAATCGAAGAATGGCATGTCATTTTTTATTTTAAAAATAGAAAACTAAGAAATAAAAAAAATCAGGAGAAGAAATGGGGGATAGAGAAGGGGAGGCTGGTTCGAGACAGATCCTTGTCAATTGACTAACAAAGGACACGAGAGGTGCAATTTTTTATGGAATGAAAGTTGGAGTACTTAGTTGCAGTTGGAGAGTACTTAGTTGCAAATATTCTTTTCTTTAGACACCAAATCAGAAATTTCACTATAATTTGGGTACCACATGTAGTTAACCCTAAAAATATTATTTTCCTTGCTTGTCGAGCACTGATAGGTCACAAAAACAAATGTGAGAGAAGTGTCAACATAATCAATAATCCAGACTAAATTATTAATGAAGGAAAAAGTAATTAGCTTCATTCCATTACATACCAACCATCATCTAGATGGAATGCCAATTGATACGGGCAAGAAGGATCAAGATCAATGGAGTGTATTTCCTTGGGAACAATATCTGATTGTGCCTGAAAAACGAAGGAAATCGGTCATTATAAAACTTATTTTGCATTATGGAAACGAACTGGGCTGATTCTGTTTTTACTTTCATGGTGGTTTGTTCCCATGTAACCTATGTTTCATTCTAGAAGCATTTACATCAACTTCACATTATATAACTACTGCTTTTTTCTGGTAGTTCCAGATCAAATAAGGACAATCACAACTCATTAGATAGGTTAAATGTACTTTTGCGAAGGTACACATATATTGGACATTCATAAATATGGTCCTTCATAGGCAATTTATCTAAAGGCCTTTTGAAAATGAAAATCTAACAGAAGCATGTGTATCCTGAGGGAAAGAACAAGACCAAAATTTAATAGAGCATACCTTTAAAGATCCAATCTTTGACAGCATTGATACTAACTTCAAAGATACTAGAGGAGGATGACCTGCCTGAATGAGGGAAAGCATCATGAATGTCAGTACAAGCATTAATAAGAAACTACTATCTTGTCAACTTCCAAAGCTTCGTTAACTATAGGCATAAAGATATATCATCAATAACTGAATCCAGACAGTTAAAAATGTTGGCTTAGGATGGCCGCTGCACCCTTGTGTACCATTTTCTCTTAAGCATGATGGTTAATACCAGCGACAGTCCGGCAGACTTTTGACAATATGCAACATAGAAAAGGCACAGTAAAAGCAAAGAATTCATCATAAGGGGGCGGCTGATGAGGTACAAATAGGTACTCCATATATAAAAATCATGGTGACCTTGCATAAAGTAAATAAGCAAGGACTAACTAATATTTATTATACATCTTTATTACAATTAAGTTCCAAAATTGCTCAACATTCTTATTTCAGCATTCTTTCTGTCATTCATGCAAATAGAAGGGAATGGTTTCTGCCTTCTAGGGAAGAATTATATATTCAGCTACATAACATACGTCTTGATTGAAAGTATAATCACGAACTTACATTTTCTTTGTGTTTGAGATCTAAGCTTATATAAATTAATACTTATCAGAGGGACTGGGTTCAGTGAAGAGTAATTGACCAAATTTTTAACTCCAACTTTATACATTGTACTGGTGTATATTCCAAAAATCAAAATTCAAACCTCAAGGTCTTACCTCATTATGACATTGAAAAGCAGCAGATGTTCTTCCCCCTCGAAGATCCCACATATAAATATTGCCATCCTTACTAGCCCCAAAAATGGTCTGCATTAAATGCACTTACCAAGGCTAAGGATTATTCAAAATCTCAAATAGACAGCATTACAAGCAATTAATCATGTAGCGTCTTTAAAAGGGGTGTGGATTCCTTCTATTTAGTGTGTTTTTAATAACTTTACTAATTATTCTACTATGGTAGTACCACCTAATTTGCTGCTAGCACTATGTTAAGAGAAGCAAAATTACAATAATATAATGTAAAACTTAGGTAAACTGGACGCAAAAACAATGGATTTCTTAACAAAACTAGAAGAGCACCCTTGAGTCACACCGACTTCCATTTTTCCACAAAACTAGAAGAGCACCCTTGAGTCACACTGACTTCCATTTTTCCCAACTAAAATGGGTAAACATTTTTAT